ACTTGCCCCCAAACAGCGTGGAGAGCCCCATAGCCAGACGTGGAGGATGTTTGACACGCTGCCTTTTTCGTGTCTGGGAGCATTATTTTCAGATTTTCGAAAATAATTTTTATTTATACAGGACTGTCTTTGAGTACCTTTCCGTTCGGATGCATCCATACGGCTTAAAGGCTCACCCCCACACTGAGTACGAGGGCGCGCGCGTACGTTTGCCGTCCCCTTGTCCGCCGCTTCCGGAACTCTCCGTCACGGCAGCTGACAGACTGGGAATAACAGGCACACCAACGCACCAACAATCACCATGATGATGAAGCGAAGGCCGTCCCCATGGAGACAGACGTCTCCGGTAGCCCGTCTCCTTGCCACGTCCCGTCCCGGTCGCCTGGCTGCGCACCCCCCCCCTCCCCTCTCCCGCCTCTTGCTCGCCCGCGCAGGCAGGACGTGGCGCTGACAGACCTCTGGCCCGCTCCCGGAGACGCCATGCATTATTCAAACCCATCTCCCGCGCAAACGTGTGACACTGGGCCCACAAACGAGGACTTCCTGCCAGTGGGTTGGGCAGGCGTGCCCCTGATCCCCAAAGGCTGGGGGTGGAGTCGTGTCGTCCTACATGTGACGGACCTCATGTCGGACTCTCGCTGATCGGATCCTGCACTGTGGTGGGGTCCAGTCTCCTTTCATGGTGTCTGTGTTAACCGGAGTGCCGTTTGACCCGCTTTATCGTGCGGACCGGGCTGGACCACAGCATTACGCATTACAATGTGGTACCCATGGCCGTCTGGGAGTGGTTCTACCCATTTGGTTAAATCTTGATATCTACGTCTACAGTAATCTTAATTTTTTGCATAAGACCCCCCCCCCCCTTTTCGCGTGCCACGACCTCCCCAGGTCAGGGATGATGGGTGACAGCAGAGCCTCAGTCACCCACACCATCGGGTCACTGGATCCTGACTTGCCGCAGACACTCTCACTGGTGTCCCCCCGCCCCCGGCTGAATCTCTGGTACCTACCAGTTACACCAGGTGACCCCCCAGCAGTGTCCAGCTTCTGACCTAACACCCCATCTTTCCCTGCCTTCACCGAGGCCCCCACCAGTATGGAAAGCCAGGCTTCCTGTGAAATGCTGAATACCAGCTGCGGCTGGGGTA